GTAAACAAATTTAAAATTTGTGTGTACCTACATTACTTCTGAAAAAAGTTCCATTCCATGAAACTCTGTGTATCTGGCGATCTCTTGAAGATTTAGGATCATGGATCAAGAAAAAGATGGGGCAATGCAGTGACGGTTCGTGTCAAGAGGAGGATCTGAGCAATAATTATTAGGGGATCAAGGTAGAAAGAGTAGTTGCAAGAAAACTCTTGAAAACTTGTAACAAAACTAATGGTGGTACTACAGCTTATGATTTCTCACTAGCGGTAGCATAAAATTACAATACTGCAATTTCTGTCCATATTAAAACATTTCAGGAATTTCTAGCAAAACCCAGAACGGGCGAAGTGGCTCAGGGATGACTGATGTCACTACAGTGCCTCTGACCGGGTGGTTCGACGTTGGAGTCCCGACGGTGGCAGGATTTTCGACACTAGATAGCTAGCTAGCTAGCTAGATAGGTCGAGTCCAATCGCTGTCTGAGGGAAAGAGGGCAGCTCTGACCGGTAGTTTTCCATGGTTTCTCTGAGCAATACCAGGCGAATGCTGAAGCAGAACCTTAACAAAAAGACCGCGCGCGATCATTCGGGACCGGTCGGGAGCTTAGAGGACCCGACTGGGGCGGTGCCCCGCTGATGAAAGATACCAGATCGGGGAAACCCCGCTAGCCGATAGGTAGGTCGGCGCAGAATCTCACCATTAGCGAGGGAAGATAATCGCCACCTCCGAGGAAGACATACACTACACGTACGGGATTATGGCCTTAGCCGTTGAGGCGTCCGGAATCACTGATCAATCAGTAGTAATACTCAGTACCTATCGCAGCTCATTAAATGCGAAAACGTAAGCTAATACATCAACTTATTCAATTATCCAAAACACCGTCCCATTCACCCAGAAACACTACCCAACAATGAGAAGTTATTCTCATAATTTCAAAATGCCGGGACGAGGCGATCCCATTATTGCAAATTCTAGCAAAAAGTGTGGGAAATTCGTATCTGTAATTTCAAAATTACTCTAAACAATTCATATTTTTAAAATATTGTACCCAACTTTTTTTTTTCCAAAATGATTTCTTAGAACAAAAAAATTCTACCAGCATTGTATTTTTGCAGTATTAATATTTTGTTATTTTTTGCGATTTTCGAAAATAGATCGACAGTTCAATAAAAGGCGACCAGCACCAATAGCTTTGCCACATACGAAGGGGAAAATGTGGGGACTTTTATTAGAAAATAATTGTTTAAAAATTGTATCACACAACATTCTGAAAACAACTCATTTTTTTTTAAAAAAAAGTGAAAATTACCTTTTTTCAAGATCTGCAAGCAAAAGTTTTTTGTTTTTTTCCAAAAAAACTGTAAATATTATTGTAGTTGTAGGGAACCGCCAAAATAATTTTGAACTTCCTGGTTAAAAGATATTGAAAAAATAGTGTTTCAATATCACAGACCGACAAACGTTTCGCCGTCAATTAACTTTTTTGGTATCAAGGACCGCCAAAACCACTTATGTGCGTCTACACGCAAAGAACCACAGTCTACATCTACATTGTACAAGTAAACAACGCGTAGTCAAAGGTAATTTTTGTAAACAACGGTAATTATCTTTTTTGTGGGGCAGGGGCGAATCGAGGAGGGCCATGTTCCGCCCCCAAAGCCAACATTATTTATAATTAAATATTAATAAATTTGATATAATTATTATACTTAATTTATCCGAAGCAATGCTTCATATTGATTGGATCACATCCAAAGGAGGTCTACCATAATGAATAAACTTTTTTTTTTCAAATTTCAAGTTAACATTGTTTTGCTTCAAAAATAATTTTAGGACGGGTGAGAATCATGACTGAATTTGCGTCCCCCCTGTAAAGTACTTATCTCGTCCATCGCATAACATTTCTGTCCATCGTGATGGAGACACTGAACTTGGAGGGAAAGAGTCTGATGCAGAGTGGGCTGATGTACAAGTTGAAGCAACTTCCTATTGGTTTCTTGAGATGATTACGGAGGTTGCCATTTCTTCATCAGGAGTGGTATGTTTTGTTTGACTTATAGAAAATATATATATTTTTTTAAAATATTTCATTTCAACATACGTCTATTTCTACATATTATAAACTTTGTTCGGTTATTTGATTTGAAAAAATAGTCTTCACATAAAAAGTCACAAAGACATGTACATTGCGTGTACAAAACGCGCGTAGACGTAAAATTATTGTCTACGGCACAACTCTAATCAAAACATGCATTCTGACTTTACTAAAGTGTTAGAGGAAGTAATTTTCTATATAGGATATTCAGAAGCTTCTATTACAAAAAATTACCCCCAGATTCTATGACTTTTGTAAAGAATGGCATTTCCAGTTTTTCTCTTCAAAAAAATTGTCAAGAAAAATTTAATTTAAATGTTACTTTCAGGCGAAATTCAAATCGGCTTACACGTCACCAGTTCCGAGCGCATCTGTCAACCGGGCAAGGCGTAGCGCCATTTGTTTGCGTTTTTCGGTCAAACTGTCGAGTGAGGCAAACATCGCTTGCACCACTAGAATATTTTAATACTCTCACGGGTTTAATGTGTACTACTAATTTAATATATTAAATCTACTTAAAATACACATTTGTTACAATTTATTATCACGGAATGCAGTGTCGTAACAATGAATCCTGAACACGAACCAAGCCTTATGGAAATTAACACCTGGAACGCTCCAATTCATTTTTTGCAAATCTTCAGTGTGAATGAATGTCTTGTGCTTTAGAAAGTCACATAATATAAATGATAGTCCTCCATGCAGTTTCTTCCATTCATATGGTAACAGCTTTGTGCAACTAAAATGTTCGTTCATTACAATATTGAGTTTATTGATTATTTAATGCTCGAAGTTCGAAATTATGCTTCCGCGAGTTTCATTTTGGGCAGCTCTAGCTAACGCCTGTTTTGACAATCCGATAAATTGTCGTAAACGAAATAGCGTGTAAATTCTCTATCCCCAGATGAGGTAATTGTTCCCCATGAAAGTTACCTCAAACTAAAATAGAATGTGAGGGGACAGAGAATATTTAATGATCTTCTTTTAAACAATCTAGCAGATTACGTTATTAATGCTTAGGGATAATCCTGTGAGCTGAAATTACGAACATTTTGCTTTCGCTAGAAATGTATTTCGATAGTGGCTGATTTTGCAAAACACTCTACACGATCGTGGAACATCGACTTCGCGACAATGGGCTCCAGAATCCCGCATTGAGGTCTCGCAAATGAAAGTGTATTCTGGCCTTCATTTTCTTGTTCCGTAGGCGAGGTGAACGCATGTCTCTCCCAAAATCTTGAGATAATTCGAGAAACCTTTCCTCGGCGAAAATGGCGACGGGTTGTGAAAATTTACATTTGTGTGGATGATTTTCTCTCGCTCTCTCCCGACACACTCCTTTTCTCTCCCCTTCTCACGCTCACTCTATCTCCCTATTTCTCCATTTATCTCTCCCTCTTTGTGTCCCTTTCTCTCGTTCCCTCTCTTTCACTGTCTTTCTCTCGCTTTTTCTCTTCCTTTCACTATCCTTCTCTCTCTCTCTCTCTCTTCCCTTCTGACTCTCGCTCGCTCGCTTTCTTTCTTTCTCTGCCCTTCTCACTCGCTTCCTCTCTTTTTCTCATTCTTTCTCTCTTTCTTCCTCTCTCTCCTGCTCTCGCTCTCTTTTTTGTCACTTTCTCCATCTCTCTTTCTGTTTATCTTTCTCTCCCTTCTTTCACTCTCTCCCTCTGTCTCCTCACTTTTCTCCCTTCCTCACTCTCTCTTTCTATTTCTCTTTTTCTCCCTCTCGCTCTTTCTCTATATTCTTCTCTCTCTCTCTCTCTTTGTTTCTCTTTCTCTCTCTCATTGAAAGATATGCGGCGGTGGCATTTTCTAAAGTATGTCATCGCCACGATACAAACCATGACGCGACCGAGCAAGAGGCGTATGTATCATAAGTTTTCCTGCTCCTTGTTTTACTCTTTTGCACAAAGACCATTTTAGTTAACTATTTTGTGAGTTGGCGCTTGGGGTAGAAAAGGTGAGTTGGAACTTGGGGTAGAGAAGGACAATTGCCATTTTCTCACAGTTAATCAAGAATATTACGTAAAGCTTTTACTATTTGGTGGATTGTTTGACTGCGCGCCCTGATATGTACTGCAAAGATTTGTCAATGCAATTCGCCTGCGGGTTCACAAAAGGAAAAAGCATCGGTGGCGCTTCCAGAAATAATCAATAAACTCAAAATTTGCCTGTCCAGA